TTTTAAAGTTATATATTTATTTTTATAAACTTATAGTAAATGATAAGATTGTAATAAAAACATTGTGAAAATGAGGCAATAATTGAATAAAAGAAAATCTAAAGAACATTAAAAAAAATTTTTTTAAAATAAATTTTAGAAGAATTAAAAGAGTTATCAAAAAGCACTGTTGGTGAAAAAGGAATTAAAGGAGAAAAAGGGGATCAGGGTGTAGTAGGACCTAAAGGTGTAGTTGGAATAAAAGGTCAGAGAGGTTCTAAAGGAGTTCATGGTGATGATGGCCCAAAAGGTTTTGGGGGCATAACTGGTGATAAAGGAGAATCTGGTTAGTATATTATTATTGTAAATTATTTTTTTTTCTTTTTTACTTTTAATTAACTACTATTCACTTTTAACATACTACTATTAAATTTAACAGGAAAAAATGGCACTGATGGCAAACCAGGGTCATCAGGGCTCCCTGGGCAGCAAGGTAGAAAAGGTGAACCTGGAGAAGTTGGACTCCGTGGTCCTGATGGTGTTACAGAGCGTGGAGAAAAAGGTAAAGAAGGAGAACCTGGTATGCCTGGAAAGGATGGTGAAGATGGTAAGTGGTCACATATTTATGATTACATTTTTATATTTTATTATTTCTTTATTAGATTTTCTGTAAAAATTAGTTTTTATGTTGAAGGTGTTACACAAAGTAAGTAAGATTTCTTTTTCAGCTCCTCCTCCACCTGGATGTTTCACATTTGGTGATCCTACAGATATTGCTTTTATACTCGATTCATCACGAAGTGTCACTAGGGATCATTTTAATCGCCAGAAAGAATTTGTCAAAACAATTCTTGGTGAATTTCCTCTTGGTGAAGAGCTAACACAAGCTGGTATAATCAAATACGGTCGCACAGCTGACATAGAAATTAACTTTGGAGAGTTCCTTACACAAACAGACCTTTTTAATGCAATTGACAAAATAAAGCACTCACAAGCAGATGAATCTCGTTTGGATCTTGCATTAAAAAAAGCTCACGAAGAGTTATTTACATCTCAAGGAGCACGCAGTGATAAAGATATAGAAAAGGTGAGTAGAGTGCTCTAACAATAATAACATTTAATTCATTAGTTTTAATAATATTGACTTAATTTAATTTCATTTATCATTTTTAATATAAAATTTCAATTAGTTATTTTGAAATGTTTTTTTTACTACAGTGCCTAAAATTAATATATTCTAATTATTTAAATATAACTAATTTATTCTCTAAAAAAATTTCTTTGTTTTTAAGGCTATAGTTATACTTGGTGATGGATATATTAGCGGTGGAGGAAATAGATCAAGAGATCTTATTGAAAGTGCTAAAAAAGAAGCTGCTAAGTTAAGGGAACTAGGTGTACTAATATTCACTATTGGTGTTGGAGCTGAACCTAATTCATTGCTTCTTCAAAATTTTGCATCTAAAAAAACATACTATATAACTGTTAAAGATTATGGCCAGCTTATTGGAAAAATTGGCGCTCTGAAGACTTCAATTTCATCAGCTTGCAATGTTGTTACTCCTGGTGAACCTGGTCGAGATGGTAGACCTGGAGAAAAAGGTCTTGTTGGAGAGAAGGGTAAAAAAGGTAATGATGGCATCTCACCAAAAGGTTTACAAGGACCTAAAGGTATTAAAGGAGAGAAAGGAAGTTTAGGTGTTGGAATTAAAGGTTTGCCTGGAGATGAAGGGCCTGTTGGTCCTATTGGAGAAAATGGTTAGTTAACTTGATTATTGTTTTGAATAAGTATTATAGATAAGGATAATAGATAAGTATATATATAATTATATTTTATATAAGTAGGTTAAACTTTAATCTTAATTTTGATTTTAGTATTAATTTTTATGTATTTTAGTATTGCGCTATGTGTAATAATGTGTTATTATTTACTATTATTTTCTTTGTTTGTTTTTTATTATACTATTGTTCAATAATTTGTCTAGGAATTCCTGGTAAAGATGGCGTGTCTGTAGATGGTGCTCCAGGTCTTAAAGGAGCTCGTGGAGAACCAGGTGATGGTATCAAAGGAATGAAAGGATTACGTGGAAAAGTTGGTGATGTTGGTTTACCTGGTGTTGATTCAAAGCAAATATGTAAGTAATATCATAATTGGGTCATAGTTTTGCATGCAAATTTAATCAATCAGTTATTATATATTTATAAATATTTAAAAATATTTTTATAATATTATTATTATAGTACCTTTTCTAGATACTTTTTACTTACTTACATATACTAAAATTTAAATTTTAGTCTGATAAAAATTTCAACTAAGTTTATAAATAGTTTATTTATAATTATAAATTAAAAACTTTGTTTCTTTTAGTATGTGATAAGGTTTTACAAACAGACATGCTGTTTTTATTGGATTCTTCAGGAAGTGTAGGTGATGAAAACTTTGATAAAATGAAGGAGTTTGTAAAGAGCATTGTTTTAAATTTTGATGTTGATAATCAGTTGACACGTATTGGTATAATAAGATTTGATTCTGATGCTGAAATTATTATCCAATTATCAGATCATAAAACTTTAAAGGATTTATTAAATGATATCGATAGTATACGTTATAATGAAGGAATCCAAACTCGTATTGATAAAGCATTAGAGCGAGCGATGGAAGCATTTTCTGAGAAAAATGGTGGTAGAGCTGATGCAACCAAGGTATAAAAAATTTTTTTTTAAACTTTAAAAAATTTTCAAATATATTTATGTTGTTATATTATAAATTATGTATATATATATATATATATATATATATATATATATATATATATATATATATATATATATATATATATATATATATATATATATATATATATATATATATATATATATATATATATATATATATATATATATATATATATATATATATATATATATATATATATATATATATATATATATATATATATATATATATATATATATATATATTTGAGTTTTTTCATTCAATATATATATTTGAGTTTTTTCAATTCAGGCACTTGTATTGTTAGCAGATGGCCAAAATTCATTCATTGAAGGTTCACAAGATTTAAATGAAGAATTAAAGCCTTTAATTGATGCTAAGGTTTTTCGTTATGTAATTGGTATTGGTCGTGAACTGGATTTAAAAGAGCTTGAAGATATTGCAACTAATAATATTGCTATTTATGCTGATAGTTTTGATGAGTTAAAGTTTAAGGTTGATGAGCAAATAAGTCGAATAGCTGAGCGTGGTTGCCAAGGTAATAATTTTTTTTACGCTTGATAGTAGGGTAATAAATATGGTGAATAAGGCTAATATAATTAATTTTTTAATTTTTATTTTTTAAGGTCCACCTGGTCCACCTGGAAAAAATGGTGCTCCAGGAAGAGATGGAAAACCTGGTACAGATGGACTAGCAGGTATAAGTCCTCAAGGTGAACAAGGGTCACCCGGAAGAAAAGGTTCTAAAGGTATACAAGGAGATGCAGTTGGTGATGGAACTGAAGGAGAAAAAGGTGATATTGGTGATGAAGGTCCAATAGGTTTTCCAGGTGAATAATATTTACAAAATTGTTAGTTCTTTCATTTTATATAATTGTTTAAAGGATTCATGTATAATATATCTAATTCATGCATAATATATCATCATAATTCATGCATAATATATCATAATATATCATGCATAATATAAATAAAATAAAATTTAACATGTGTAGTTATTGTAAAAATAAAAATCCATAAATAATTAATAAATATATGATTACTATATACTGTTTGTTTGGGAAGGTGGCCTATAGTCAGGAGTTTAATTATGTTGTTTTAACATCATATAAATAGTTATTTTGAATTCAAATAATATAGTTTTGAACTTATCATAGTTTTATATAATAACTAGCAAAATTTTTCTGATGAAAATTTACATTGCTATGACTGAAAATTTATGATGAAAATATGATGAAAATTTACATTGCTATGAATGTTACCCATGGTTACAAATAGTTAAAGTTTTTGATTTTAGGTTGCACCAATGAAATAGGAGAAATCAATGATATCCCAACTGATATAGCTTTTGCTCTTGATGCATCTGCTTCATTTTATGAGGAAGGTTTTCAACAAGAGAAAGATTTCATTAAAAGTGTCATTGATAAAATTGAGCTCTCAAGCTCTGGTGTTCGAGTTGGTGTTCTCACTTACAGGTACTACTTAAGTTAAATTGATTTACCCCTCTCAATAAATAAATAACAGAAGAACATTATTTTAATTTTAGAAAAACTTCAAAAAAATAACAAAATAACATTAGTTAAATAACAGACCAGATCTAGCAAGATATATGGCAAATTTAAGGTGAACAATAGTACATGCGCTGCATAGGTCCTCAAACTATATGCTTTTCATGCACATAAAAAAAAATAATAATAAATTATAAATCAACTCAAATGAATTAAGTAGTTAATTTAATAAGATTTAAATGGAAATTGGCGCTTATGTTATTAGTTATTATATTTGTAATTTACTTAAAAAATTATTTATTTATTTTTTCCAAATTTTATTAAGTGATGAAGCTAAAATAAGAATTCGTTTTGATTACTCCTTTGACAAAGAAGACGTTAAAAAAGCAATTGACAACATTCCATATGATAGCATGGGAACAAGAATAGATTTAGGTTTAGAAGCGGCTAAGGAATTATTTTTAGAAAAGAGTGGTGGAAGAGGAAGCTCCAAAAAGGTAAAGAAAAAAAAGATTGGTTAAGATAAATTATCTGTTTTTCTGTAAACTTGAAGTTTATTTTATTTTAATTAATTTAATTTAAAGATATAAGTTTTAAAGTGTGGTTTAAAAAAAAACCACACTTTAAAACACACTTTTTTTTTTTTTACATAACGCCAGGTTTTGATATTGCTCACTGATGGTCAGCAAACTTATATTCCTGATGCTAAAGATCCTGTTGACTATGCAAAAGAGTTAGCTGAATATGGAGTTGACATATTTGCGATAGGGATTGGAGATGAAATTAACAAAGTTGATTTAGAGGATTTAATATCAAAGCCTCAACATATTTTCCTTTCAGATGATATAAACAGCTTGATTACAGATTTGAGTAAAGATATTTCGACTGCTTTATCTTGTGAAGGTTGTTTTTTAATATATTGTTTTTCTTATTAATTTTTTTTAAGAGTATTTATAAATATTATATATATATATATATAATTTTTTTTTTTTTTCTTTTAAACTATTTTTTTTTTTATGAAAAACAAACAAAATTGTTTATTTATTAATTTTTTTTATTATATGTTGTATTTAACACTTAGTTTTGCTAGTTAATCTTATATTAAAAATGTATTCAAATTTTTATATTTTATTATTATTTATATAATATAATATATTCAAATATTTATATAATATACTATATTCAAATATTTATATAATATAATATATTCAAATATTTGTTCATTGTTAGTTTTAATGTTTTTATTTATAGATGGTTGTTTTATTGATCTTTTTAATATAATTTCATTTCATTTTCACTTTTAATTTATAAATTTTCAACTACATTATTTATTTTTGTATTAAATTTATTTATAAATTTTACATTGATTTATAAATTGTAATAAGATTTGCTGCTTAAGACTAATTTGATTAGAGTGTTGCATTTTTGAATGTGTTGATAAATATTATCCCTTGTTTCCCAAATGCTCTAAAATTCACATGGTTGGCTGGGACACATAATTGCCTTTCAATTCGCCTGTTAGTCATAAAATCAGATTTGAATTAAGATAATAGATGACAATTGTTGTTTATTTATGACAATCCCCTGACTTTTTTTTACCTGCTTTTGTTTAGCATCTACATCATCATCAATCATAAATCATCATCATTAATCACAAATCATTGTCACAAATCATCATCATCACAATTTATAATCATTACAAACTATTATCACAAATCACCATTGTTCATTTAACTACTTTTCTTTTTGTTCTTTATAATTTTTTTTTATCAAATATTTATAAATAATTATTAATATTTGATAAAAGAATAATTATATAATCTTAGAAATCTTTTGAATCTAATGACTGCTCTATTCTAGAGAAATAGTGAACCTTTTGTGATATCCAAATGGTTCCTGCTTCCATTGCTAAAATTATTTCCCACTAAAACTCTTACAATATTCTTGTCACTGTCTTGCAAAAGTGTTTTTGTAAGGCAGTGACAGGAATCTTGTAACCTCAGATTTTTTTTTCTTTCTATTCACTATTTAACAAGTTTTCTTTCTATTCACTATTTAAAAAATGGTGTTGTTTTAATTTATAAAAAATTTCTAATTTTTTTAACTAATGCAAGTAATTGTACTACATAAGTAAAAAAATCAATGCATTTTGATTGGACAATCAATGCAGATTTTGATTCTCTCTTTTTACTGCTAACTTATATAATAGAAAGATTTTGTACGACATAAAAGCAGTGATGTAAGTTCTATTGCTATGACATTCATGCTTTGGATAAAGTTTGGCATTCTGGCCTACTTCATGAGCATTTGATCGTATGATGCATTCAGTTACATTTTGAAAATTATTGAGTTATTATTTTCTAAGCGTAATATTAGAGTTCTTTTCGATGGACAGTACTCTCTAATTTTCTGCACTTTTGGTACACAAGGTTTTATCCTTGGTTCTGTATTGCTTTTATATTAATCAACTTTCTCATTTATTTTAAATAACTTTCCTAATAATACTTGCTCTAAAGTAGAGTAGAATTTTTCTGATGACTGAAATAGAGCCAATTGCATCATCAGCAATTAAATTTGTCATCAACTAAATAGAATGTGTCATTAACAAATTAGATGTATACTTCAATTTGATAAAAAGTCATCAGTTTTTGATTGTTAAGAATAGAAAACCAATCTTGAATGTGGTTTCATCTTCAGACTGCTTTAGGGCTTATAGTGTTTTAACACTTTATGACAGCTTAGGCCTTACAGTGGCGTGTGAATTTTAATCTTAACAAAGTTGTTTAGTGCAAATAACTGCAGCATTGTTGATATTCCTATATTAATAAATGGTAGCTGTATGAGTCTTCTTATTAAGTCTTCTACTTTACATCTTCTTTGATTATCCTTTACTGCTGGTTTTTCATGGAAATTAAATAAACAATCTATTGCAAGTTAGCATTTTCTGAGGTTGCCTCTCTTTAATTTGGTTGTAATTTTCATTTATTATCAGCCATTTATTAAGCAGTTGCAGCCTGTTTAACTGTTTAAACATCATTTTTATTTATCTTTTTTTTCTTCTTCAAAGAACATCAATTTTTTGGAATTCACTGCGGTCTTTTTCTTGGTGTTTTCCTTACTCATACAATTTAAAGCTTTTTAAGTTCTTGTTAACCACTTTCTTGTTCTTCAGTATTCTCCGTTTCTGTCTTAACCCCTAATTTAATTACCTTAATATAATTTTCTTATTTTAATGCATATTTGTAATAACTTATGAATATAATTGATAATTAATGCATATTTGTAATAAATTTGTAAAAAACCTTGATCAAAGATTTAAAAATTTAAAATTTTATAAGAAATAAAAAAAGCAAGTTTTTTTTTTTGAAATTAAAGAAAATAATTTACTTAGGTGGTCCTCGTGGTCCGCCTGGTCAACCTGGCGACGATGGTCCTCCAGGAAGTATTGGTCCTGTTGGTGAAGTTGGAAGACGTGGTTTGAAAGGAGACAGAGGAGATCCAGGTTTAGGACCTAAAGGTGATAAAGGAGAACCAGGATTAACAAATAAAGAAGGAGACAAAGGAGATAGAGGATATAGAGGTATGGGAACATTAAAATTAGTTAAGATATATAATTAAGTTTAAATATGGTAGAAATAAGTAAAGTATAGCAAAATATAAACATATTTAAAATAAGCAACAGTAAGATTAATTTTTTAGATATATGTATATATGTGTGAGGTATAAGGTTTCATATATGATTTATGTTTGTCTGAATTTCCAAATTTATAGTTACTTTTTATATATTTTTACTTATGCAATACTTTATACTTTTATTATTTAAAAAATATTTTTATTGTTAAATAAAAAGGAGGAAGATGTTTTTATTATATTTTATGTTTCTAATGTTTTCAATAACCCCTATCTTATATTATTCTTATATATTTTATATTATATTTCTATTTATATCTTATATTTATTCTAAAAAAGAAAAACAACTTTAAGTAAATCATTTTATATCAAAAATATTTTTCTACCTCAACAAATCTTTTATTCTTTTCAAAATAAATTAATTCAAAATTCATTGCAAATTAACACAAAATCATACAAGTTAAAACTTTTTTCAAGGCATATTTCAATGTTTTGAAATTTCAGAGTCAAAATCATGAAAGTTGAGCTAAAGTCTCAAACCCTCACTCAATTAAACTAAACTTTAATTATTTAGTAGTTTTAACAAACAAGAATGAACATATCTCAAAGGTTATAAATTTAGTTTACATAAACTAATTAAAAATTTTCATAATTTAAAGGTCATGATGGACCTAATGGTGCACCAGGACTTCATGGACCTAAAGGATTACCTGGACCAAAAGGTGCTCAAGGAGACCCCGGGTTTCAAGGAATTGATGGAAACAAAGGACAAAAAGGTTTCTATATTACTTATTTTGATTTACACACATTTATTTTTTGTTTTATTTTACATTTATGTCTGTGTCTTGCCTATGGCTGTTCAGCTTAATGCTTTAATGATCCAATGTTAAATACACCTGTGGTGCAGTGGTTAGAGTTCTGGTTTAAGAATAAGAGATCTGTGGTTTCAAGCCAGTTCTAGCCGCATATGCATCATTGGTAAAAAAAGAGCTATGAACTTTCTGGTTAAATAAACTTATTTGTATTTGTATATATAAACTTTTTTTTAAATTTTAGGATCAATGGGCGCAAAAGGTCCCAAAGGTAGTTCGACTGAACAAGTTGGAGCAAAAGGAGTTTCAGGTGATAAAGGAGATAAAGGAGCTGTTGGTGAGCCAGGTAAATTACCCCCTGGTTCTAAATTTGAAGACCTTGATGGGCCAAAAGGTAATATATTTAAATATTTTAGTTATTTTATTAAATTAATAAACTTAATCTGTACACCACTTAGTATATTTATATATATATATATATATATATATATATATATATATATATATATATATATATATATATATATATATATATATATATATATATATATATATATATTTAAACAATTTAAAATGTATTCTACAAAAAGAGTGCTCAATGTTCTTAAAAGAACAGAGCAATTACAAATTAGTAGAAAATCACTTAGCAAAATTTTTTCTTATTTAACCCTGTTTCATCAATAAAGACTCATCAGAAAATATTAATTTTGCTAAGTAATTTTCTACTAATTTATATATATATATATATATATATATATATATATATATATATATATATATATATATATATATATATATATATATATATATATATATATATATATATATATATACATATGTATATATACATATATATATATATATATATATATATATATATATATATATATATATACATATATGTATATTTACATATATGTATATATACATATATACATATATGTATATATACATATATATATATATATATATATATATATATATATATATATACATATATGTATATATATATATATATATATATATATATATATATATATATATATATATATATGTATATATATATATATATTTAAACAATATAAAATGTATTCTACAAAAAGAGTGCTCAATGTTCTTAAAAGAACAGAGCAATTACAAATTAGTAGAAAATCACTTAGCAAAATTTTTTCTTATTTAACACTGTTTCATCAATAAAGACTCATCAGAAAATATTAATTTTGCTAAGTAATTTTCTACTAATTTATATATATATATATATATATATATATATATATATATATATATATATATATATATATATATATATATATATATATATATATAAATATATATATATATACATATATGTATATATACATGTATTATGCTATGCTAGAATTTGTGTCATTATTAAACTTTTAAGTCAAGGTAGAGCTTGTATGTCAAGTTTGAGCTTGTATTTCAAGCTAAAACTAAAGAAATGAAAATAAGGAAGGATATAACATAATATGTTTTAACTTGTAAAAAGATTTAAAAAAAACTTTAATTGAAAAATAATATAATAAGTTTGTTTTTAGTTTAAAAAAAGTCATATATACAGATAACTTTACAAATTGAAGTTTTCTTTTTTTTAACAATTTTAATTTAACACAAAGATAATTTGACTTTTTTTTCTGTAAAAATTGAAAACATGAGCTCTGAGCTCTATTTATTTTATTGTTTTATTTTTATTATCATGTTTACAACATTCTCACAACATTTTATGTAGAAAGGAATAGTTCAGTTTTTTTTTTTTTTTTTTTTTTTTTTTTGTTAATTCGATATACCAAAATCAGCAAGTTTACAGTTGCCATTTATATCTAGCAATATATTGGCACCTACAAAATAAAGAATTTATTTGTTACCCCAAATTTTTTTATCAAATTAAATAATATATAATAGTACAATCAAATAATAACAGTACAGAAAAATTTAGATTTTTTTTTAAAAAGCTCAAAATAATGTTGTTAACCATTAAATAATTATGTTAAGTATTTTTTTTTGGTATTATACTTTTATATAAATAATTTTTATTATTTTTTTATGTTTTACATGTAAAAAAAATATTTTTAAAAACTTGTATAAAAATGGAGAGGAATATTTTTTTTTTTATTTGATTTTTTCTATTTAGAACCTTTTTAATTATAAAGCAATTAAATTTAGCAATTAAATACAAGTTTTATATACAACTATTATTATATAAAGGTCAATTGTAAAAACGCTTTACAATTTACTTCATCAATTTACTACACACGTTGCCTTAATAAAGTTTAACAACTTTGAAAAAAATTTTATTACTAGCTTTATTATTATTATTATTACTAATCTTATTATTATTATAAGAATGGTTGGAGCATGTGAGTGGTGACAAATTTACTATCTAATTTTTACCAAGTTTCATTTCAAAATAAACCAAGTTTTATTCGAAGTTTTTTGAAGACAAAAAAGATTTTAATCTTTTTCAAAACTTAATTATTTTCTATTTTCCAGATTTTTTACTTGTGGTTCTAGATTTTTTTATCTTTTTTTTGTTTGTTTGAAAAGTTACTTTTCAATACAAAAAATATTGATTTTATTAAAAAATTATGATTTCCTTACTTGGTAAAAAAATCTATTTTTCTTCGTAAATATTTACATTACTCAGAATACAACGAAAATTCTTAAAATATTGCTAATGATTTCGGATCACTTTTCTGTTTTTAACAAGAAAGATTTTCGGACTAAATGAGATTACTTAATCATTATTTTATCACTTTTAGTTCATAATCATTATCATTATCACTTGTAGATAATGATTATGAACTATCTTTTGTATCTTTAACTTTATTTTTGTTTTCTTTTTTATTCATTTTTGTTTTATTTTTTTACTATAATTTTAACTTCTAAAATCAGTTAAATCTTTTTGCTATTTTTAGGTCCTATTGGTCCAAAAGGTGAAGTAGGTGGTCCTGGAAAACCAGGTAAATTTCTTATTGCACCTGGTCAAATTGGTTTAGCTGGTTTAAAAGGTGATAAAGGAGAATCTGGTAAATTTGGAGATATTGGATATGAAGGAGATGCTGGAACAAAGGGAACCAAAGGTGGTTATCAATTTAATTTTACTTTTTTTATTTTATTTGTTATATGTTATTTAATAAATGTTTACCTGGAACCACTAATGTTAGAGTAGTATTAAGTATATATGACATAATACATGTGATGTTTTTTCACGGTGGATGGGCATTTTTTAGTCTTGATTTCAACCTGTTTTTAATTTAATTTTGTTCTTGATTTTGAGAAAAAAATATTGGATTGCTAACTGAACAGAAAAATTAGTTTTCACAAATAACAAGTTTTATCTATTATTTTATTTTATTGTAAAAAAAAAAAAATTGATAAAAAGAAGTTATATTATTATAATTATATATTGTTGTAGAAGTAAGCTGATTTAATAAGAAGAAAATAATAATTTTTTTCAAAATTTATATTTCAGAATGTTTAATGCATTATTACAAAGTTTTTTATTTTTTGTAGGAGAACAAGGCGATATGGGTAAAAGAGGAATGTTAGGGGATGATGGTCCTATAGGTAATGTGGGTGAGATTGGAGATGTTGGTGATGAAGGTGACCAAGGCATTAGTTTAAAAGGCGAACAAGGTGAACAAGGCATTCCAGGTGAAAGAGGTTCACAAGGACTAAAAGGAGAAGATGGTTTACCAGGTTTCTTTGGAATGCCTGGACCAAGAGGTGATAAAGGAGAACAAGGACCTCCAGGTGTGTTCAAATGGCTAAAATATATATGTATATGTATATATGTATATATATATATATATATATATATATATATATATATATATATATATATATATATATGTATATATACTATTATTATTTTTATATATATATTTATATATTTCTACTATTATTATTTTTTATATATATATTTATATTTATATAAATATTATATTTTTATTTATATAAAGGTAAACAACAAACATTAGATCAAACAATTCAGTTTAAAGCATCTAAAGGTATTAGAGGAGAAAAGGGATATACAGGTGACTTTGGTCTGCAAGGAGAAACTGGTGAACCTGGAGTGGCAGTTGGAGCTCAAGGTCAAAGGGGTGATAAAGGACTTGAAGGACCAAAAGGTGAAACCGGAGAGCAAGGAGTACAAGGAGACGAAGGACTCAAAGGGTTACCTGGCAAACTTGGTAATTTTACCTCTATATCTCATTTAATAAATATAACTTGATATGTTTTCTCGACTTAAATCTGAAATGTTTTTTTTTAAGTATTTTCAATGTTTTAAATTTTTATTAATTTATGTTTATTACAAGTTAAAGTTATTGAGTGACTGAATATTTAATGTTGTTAAAAATTATTAATTGTTAAAAATTAGCTGAAGCTAATGTTGTTTATGTCCTACAATCCATATGTAAATACATTGCTAGTCGGTCAGGTTTAAATGAGACATACATTTGTCATGGTTACATTACATAAAGTTTTTAAAGTTTTGTAATACATTTATTCATGCAAAAAATCATTTTTGTGCAGTAATAATGTTTAAAAATAAGTAATTAAACAAATGGTAAAAACAAAAAACGAAAAATATTATTACTAGTAGTTTGTATTTTTAATGTTATTATTTTTATAAAATTATATAATATTATCATAAATATATAATATTTAGTTTTTATATAATCTTTTTATTTATAGGACCAAAAGGACAAATTGGAGACATAGGGGAACGTGGAGATCGAGGCCCAAAAGGACCTGTTGGTGATGTAGGTGAAAGAATTGGAGGATCAGAAAAGGGAGACCTTGGAAGTATTGGTTTGATGGGTCTAAGTGGAAGAAAAGGCACAAAGGCAGAAAGAGGCGATAAAGGTTTTTAATTATTTTTTTATCAAAGTTAGTTTTTATTGTTATGATTTAAAATTATTTTTTTAATATTTTTTTTATAGGTATTAAAGGAAAAGTTGGTTCTCAAGGTCCGAAAGGAATAAGAGGTAGTCCAGGTTTTACGGGTCTTCCAGGCGAACCAGGTCCATCTGGAAAAAGCGGACAAACAGGCCCGTCAGGAGATAAAGGTGAGACTGGGGATGAAGGAAAACCCGGACCTGTTGGATCAAATGGTGTTGCTGAAGGTTTCTACATTGTTCGTCATTCACTGAGCAATATTGTTCCATCATGCCCTCGTAATTATAAGATGTTATGGAGTGGTTATTCTTTGGTGTATACTGTAGGTAATGGCCAAGCACACGCACAAGACCTTGGTACAGCAGGATCTTGTGTGAAATCATTTAGGTAGAATTTTTTTTTTTTTGGTCTAATCTTTTTATAAATAAACTTTTTTGCATAAAATAAAAATTTCTTATTTTGCTACATTAATTACGGCAATAATTATTTAATTATAATAATAATTTCCAGCAAGTTACCTTTCTTGTTCTGCGGTATAAGTGGCAAGTGTAAATACGCATCAAGAAACGACTTCGTTTATTGGCTTTCAGGATCCGAAAATGAGCCTAAAACATTTGTGAAAAGTTCAGCTGTAGAACCTTATATCAGTCGATGTGTAGTGTGCGAGACACCCTCCATTCATATTGCTGTTCACAGTCAAGATAGATATCGACCCGATTGTCCTGCTAACTGGGAAGCGTTATGGGAGGGTTATAGCTTTTTAATGGTAAAAAATTTAGATAATTATTAATTATTAAATTAATTAATAACCTTTTAATATTAATAATATAATTGATGTGCTTAAAATTCAAAATTACTATATGATTTTTGATGACATGTTTTTGAAAAATTTTTAATATTAGGAGTTTTAAAAGTTGTCGTTTCTTATATTGTTTTTGCTTTTTTATTAGGTTGCTGCAGCAGGTAACACAGGAGCAGGTCAATCACTTTCTTCTGCCGGCTCGTGTTTAGAGACATTTCGCCCTAAAACGATAGTTGAGTGCCAAGGATCTGGAGGAACCTGTAATTTCTTTTCAGATAAATTTAGTTTTTGGTTGACAACTATTGCTCCTGACAAGCAATTTCAGACTGAAGAGTTAGAAATTTTTGGAGATGATGACGATTTACACAAGAGAGTATCAACTTGTCAGGTTTGTATTCGCAAACTAAAAGGAAGCACCGGAAATATTATTGAGCCACCGAACGGATAACTCTTACCTAACGTTTTGTGTTTGAATGTTTATATTTAGTGATTATATTAGGTTATTATAATAATTGTTTTAATTTTTGTCTAACAATGGTTTAAAGTTGTTTTAAATCTGTTGGAAATTTCATTTAAAATCAGTTTTAAATATATTTTATAAAGCAAAAATTTGTTTTTATTGATTGCGCTTTTTTTTCCTTCAATGTTTTATTCATTTTAAGTTTTAACTTGTCATTTTAATAAAAAATTTCATCTCATTTTTTCACTTTGCTATAAACCAATATAAATTTTTGTATGTCAAAAGTTTATACTGGTTTATCTTTTATTTTATAAAATAAACATTTTTTATTGTTTTATTGCCTTGACAAAATTCCTTCCGTCAAAAACACTTCAAAGTACATTTAGAAAAAATTCGCTTTCAACTGATAGAGATCTATTAAAAAAAATTTATATCTAGCATTATTTTGTTTGATTTTTTTACTTTAATCATAAAAATATGAACCTTAAAAAAATTGTCAAAAGTTAAAAAAAAAAAATTTGTAAAAAAAAAAGGTCTAATAGTAAGATTTTTTTTTTTTTTTTTGTGATGCAACTTGCGGGAGTAAGACGCGCTTTTTATTAACGACACATAAAAATCTTTACAAACTAAAACAGTTTTTAATAGATTGCAATTACTTACTTAGTATGATGTGCTAACATGGTGTTCTAATAAATTATTTCAAACAGATTCAAATTTTCATATTCCTAATATTAAACTTATATCTTTTGAACAAGAATCAAACAAAAGGGGAGGAGAGATCTTTTGAACAAGAAACAAACAAAGGGGAGGAGAGATCGTTACATATAACAAACAAAAGGGGAGGAGAGATCGCTACATTTATCAAACAAACAAAAGAGGAGGATAGATCGCTACATATATCATAAATGATCAAGCAATTAAAATAAGAAAATACCTCTTAATCTCCGATGCTTACAAAAAACTCTTTAGGATTGAGATTAAAAAAAATGTTACAGTTTCGACATCTTATAGACCTCCCGAGGGTGATATAAGCAAACTTTCAAATTATTTAAAAGAAATTTTGCACAAAACAAATGAGAGAAAAAAAAATTTCTGTATTGATGACCTAAACATGAACTCTCTAAATAATGATGGATAGGCGATTACTATATTATTTTATAAACAAAATGCTCCAGATATGTATTCTTCCAATCATCAAAAACCCCCCAAGGTACCCCAAACTCCGTTTCTTGATAAATTCTTTTCTAGGAACCTCCCTAAAAGCAGGAATTATCAAAACGGAAATATCAGATCATTTTCCAATATACTTTTTACTACCTCAAAGTACGAGAATAATTAGCAATTCTAAAAATGAAGAAAAAAAATGTAAACATTTGAATTATCCTTGGATCATTAAAGGAGTCAAGAAATGAACAAAAACAAAGAAAAACTTTATATCAGGTATTTAAAAAATTAAAACAAAACAAACTTATCTAGATACAAGGAATACAAAAATTTATTTGAAAAAAGTAGAAAGAGTTCTTTAATTTTAAAGAATTCTTTCTACTGTTGTAGAAAATTGTAGAAAAATCTTTTACTCAAAATAATTTCGAAAAAATAATGCCAGAAAAAAAAATCTGGAGCATATTAAAAGAAATATTGTAAAATATATTAATGTAACAGAATATAACGATAAGATTTCTACAGCTGAAGATTTCTACAGCTAAAAGCTTCTTTGCATATATTGGCCCTAACATGGCTTCCGAAATTAAATGTTCAAATAACTCTATTGAGACAAATGTTTAAAATTAAGATTTAGTTTAAATTTCAATGAAAAAAACAACGAAAAAATATAAAAAAAAAATAACCTGCAAAAAACTCTCCCTAATACGCGACTTAACGTATGGGCGACCCCTAAGGAACGTAAACTTCCTAATTAAATGTGTTTTTGAGAAGCTCTAGGATTAGATCGCAGTTATGCAATAAAAAAAAATAATTTTTAGTTAAAAAAGTAGATAACAACAATATGTTTGCTTAAATAGTCAAGAAAAATTAAAAATAAGATATGTTTGTACAAAACCAATAAAAAAAAATTTTATATTAAAAAATGAAAAAGTGCAATATTTATAAAAATTTTGCAGTAGAGGTTGTCCATAAGTCAAGCCACGCCACTTTTCACCGTTTTTGATCACTTTCCACCATCTCCCTCCTCGTCGCAACATCGTTACTTTTTAGTAACAAGCATATAAACAATACGTTTTCCAGATGTTATAAATTGGGTTAATAGAAGCGAAGGAAAAAACTTCTTATTCAATTATTTCAAAACCACTTTTTCAGTAGTAATTTAAATACCAAATTTTCATCCTTAATTTTTTCAATGCAACCCATGAAAACAACGTCAAATAACAATCAATTCGCTCAAAAAATCATTTCATGGTTTTTAAAACTTGACAATGTACAGCCTTGAAAGCTTTAATTAAGTTCTATCTTGAAAAGATCCTATGTTTATCAGATTCGTTACTTTCAGGGGTGATTTATTGTATCTGCATGTCCTCTACGTCTTTTTTTATGTATGATATTTTTAACAAGTGTTGGTCGCGAAGGCTTTTCGTAAAAGTTTTACACTTAATTTAATTAAAAAAAGGTGGGTACCACTAAAATTCATGTAATTTTTTAAGTAATAATAGTACTTTTTATTCTGTAAAAAGAATAAAAACAAAAATAAAATTTCTCAGCTTTTAACATTTTACTGAATTATTCAAACTGTATTTATTCAATAAATGCGCAAAATTGATAATTTATGCTGAATTTTAACTTTTTATGCTACTTTTTATCAAAATAATCTGAAAATCTAAATTGTTGATAATAATTATTAAACGTAAACCTTTTAAGATTAATTTTAAAGCCAAGAAGAAAAACATTACTTATACCGATAACGGATTAAAGTCAGACAAAAACGCAAAAAATATTCGAGATATCTCGAATATTTTTTGAAACATCTAGATGTTTTTAAAAGGGATCTGGGAATTGATTTGAGATAACTAAGTGGTTATTGTTAACTAACTAGTTATTGGTTATTGGTCTGGTTATTGTTATTTGAGATAACTAACTTCCAGACATGGAACTCCAAACATTTATATAAAATGTATGTGACATGAAATTGTCATATATAATATAATATTGCGAGGTAATATAAACGAGGTATGTGAAATGGTCATATAAAATACACATATAATATATGTTTAAACCTTAAATATGTTTATGCCTATGTCAAATAAAGATAATTTGCAGAAAATTACGATGATTAGAGGACGGGAACATAAAAACCTTTTAATTATTCCACAGCTGCTTTAAACATGAGATCAATAATTAGATAATTTAGTGCGGCTGTGGCGCAGTGGTTAGAACGTTTGCTTTATAAGCAAGAGATACAGGTTCAAAACGAGCTCTGGACATTTTTTTGCCTCATGGTAAAGAAAGCGGCATGATCTTCCTGGTTAAATGCACTTCCGGGGTGCTCTGTGATAAGACCGTTAGGTTTTCTTCGGGCACCTAAATAACAAAAGTAAAATTGTAAAATAAAATAAAATAAAAAAAAATTTATCAACCCATGGTTGACAAATGATCTCAAAAAATCATTTAGAATAAAACAAAAGTTTTATGTGAAATTTTTAAAAAATAAAACTTATACCAATGTAATAAATTACAAAAAATATAAAAACTATTTTGAAAGATTAAAAAAACAAATTAAAAAAAGTTATTATTCTAATCTTTTAGAAAATTCCATAGGAAATAGTAGAAAAACATGGGAGGTAATTAAAGAAGTAACACGAAAATTAAAATTAGAAAAAAACACCACACTTCCAAAGAGATTAAAAATCAATATGAACAAAGAACTATTTGATGAGAAAGAAATTGCTGAAAATCTCAACAAATTCTTTACAAACATCGGAAAAAATTTAGCTGCTGATATAATTCCTGGAAAAACAACATTCCAGTCATATTTAAAAACAGCTCATTCTGTAATGGATTGTCTGTAAATGAACTTACAGCATCTTTTAATGAATTAAAAATAAATAAGAGTGCAGAACTTGACGATATAAATGTCAATGTTCTGAAAGCTGTTTATGATATTATTGAATTACCTCTTTTTTTATTTTTAATTTGTCATTAAAAACTGGTATTTTCCCTTGTCGATTAAAAGTTGCATGAATTGTCCCTGTTTACAAAAATGGTGATGATTCTTTATCATCTAATTATAGTCCAATATCCTTTCTTTCCTGTTTTTCAAAAGTTCTCGAGCGTATTATGTATACCAGACTATATAATTACCTTGAAAAACATATTATCTTATTCATCAAACAGTTTGGGTTTCGAAAAAGTCATTCAACTCATCATGCAGTAACTGATTTAGCAAGTCGAATTTTAGAGGGGTTTGCTAAAAATAATTATACTCTTGGCTTGTTTATCGACTTATCAAAAGCTTTTGACACTGTCGACCATAAAATTCTTCTGCAAAAACTCGAAAAATATGGAGTAAAAAACATCAACCTAAATTGGTTTCAAAGCTACCTTAAAAATAGAAAACAAGGAGTATCTTATACCACATCTTGTTCAAAGCTAGAAACAGTTAGTTGTGGAGTTCCTCAAGGCTCTACTCTTGGACCCCTACTGTTTTTAATCTATGTGAATGACATATACCGTTCCTCAGATATGCTTAACTTTGTCCTTTTCGCAGATGATACTACTATTTTTTACTCCGACTCCAATATTAAAACAATTTTTACCATAGTAAATCGTGAGCTGACAAACCTCGAGGATTGGTTTAAAGCAAACAAACTCTCTTTAAATATTAGTAAAACTAAATATGCTTTATTTCATAAGCCATCTAAGTCAGATAGTTTGCTTCTTCAACTTCCTTAGTTAGTCATAAACAGAATTATTGTAAAACGAGTCGTGTCAATGAAAATCCTGGGAGTAATATTTGATGAACATCTTAATTGGAAAATTCATATTACGCTCGCTGAAAACAAAATTTCTAAAACAATAGGCATTATGTATAAAAAAAAACACCTACTAAGTAAAAAATGCTTAAAAGATGTATACTACTCTTTTATTCATAGTTACATTAGCTACTGTAACATTGCTTGGCCAGTACTTGTTCATCAGC